TAGAAGACTTTGTACAACTCAAAATGAAAATGGAAGGAAAGACTAGGTAGAGAAGTCTTTGGTTTTGGTCCAGTTTCTGCCCCATGCTGAAGAACAGGAACCATTCCCAGGGCTGCTTTTCAATAGCTTAATTTGTGCTTTTACACAATTGTAATACTAGCTTTTAATTAACCTGTCAAAAGTCCTGTTGTTCATGTAAAGGTGAATGCCTTTTTTTTTTTGCCAATATGAAATAGGAATAAATTCCATTCACAATTTTTGTTGTTGGCACTTTCAATAGATTATATGAATGTGCACAAATCCCAGGTCTCAGTAGAGCATATAATTTTTATATAAAGCCAAACACTCAAAGCTGATGGGCATAGTGTAGTGGGTGGAGCCTGTGCTCCCTGTGAGACAGAAGGCAGGATGGATCACTTGGGATCAGGTGTGGAGGCCAGCCTGGATGACACGCCCACTCTGTTTCCAAACAAAACAAAACCAGAGCAGCAAACATAGATTCTTAAATGAGGCCTGTGTTTAGTTCTATTTTCAATCCATTTGTTCGACTGGCAGCCACAATGCTGGTAATCTTTGCTTATAGGGAGAAATGGGGCCAGTGCAAAGAATATGAAATTATATATTTTTTAAATTAGTGAAACTAAGACTTTTTATAGCACAGATTACTGCCCCATAACCAGAGAGTGTATATTATTTTTCAGGTTCCTTCGTTGTCTTTGGTCCAAATTATTACTATGTTGTTGTTAGCAATGCCCAGCCCTGGCATTAACTGCATGGCCTCCATCAGGCTGTGGTATTTTAGATCAAGTATATAAAGATACAGGTATTTCACATCGTGTAACACTGTACGAGGAGCAGGGATCAATAAATGAGATGGGGGGGGGGGCTCTTCCAGAAATGCTGACTGAGACAGAGCAGATATATCTGCAAATTGTTTGAATGAGGTGAGGTATGATGGTTATTTACTGGAGCCTGAATTTTCTTCTGGATATATTGTAGGTTCCTGATCCTTTAGGTTGAGGGAGTGAAGAAGGAAGAGGGGCTTGCATCCATTTGACCCAGAGAAAACACACCTCTGGAGCACAGAGGAGGTGCAAGCCTGTGTTGAGAAATCAAGGTTGGAGAGGAAACTCTGGGCCTGAACCCTTCTGAGCCCTGGGGGGTCCTGAATGTGTTGTCGGAGCGAGCCGGTTCTTGGACTCCTTGATTGGAGTCTTTGTTTTACTTAATCGGAACTGAGAGGGGACCCGTTGTTAGGAGACAGTAAAAGAAATGGGAGTTGGTGTGGGCTGAGAGTCAGTAACAGAAGCCAGCTGAAAGGAATCCCAGCTTCTGGCTCTTGCTGCTCCCTCTGGGTTTGCCGCTGCGTGCTAAGAGGGTGAGCCCTAAAGCGCAGCCTCGCAGCCCAGTCAGCTCCGAGTTACCGTTCGAAGCCTTGGTAATTGTATGCGGATTAGGACTCGTTTTGCATTAATCCAGATTAGAGGGAGAAGCAAGGAAGCTTGTGACCAGAATGAGTAAAGGCCGAGCGTGAAGCAGAGCACTCTGTAGTCTGGTGAATTGTGAGAGGTGTTGATGTCCACGGTCCTGAATTAAGAGCCTGCATCTCCTTCTGAGATCCAGTTACAAAGCACAAAGTAAGCCATCGCTCTTGCTCTTGGGTTCTAACAATGCTTACCCCACAGTCTCGGCTGTTTCTACGTTTCTCACTCAGTTAATCTTTTAGTTAATATTGAAATATCTCTTTTGTACATGTGTAGAAAGGATCTAGGAATCTCCGAAAGTGTCCCTGAGTTCAGCTGACTGCTCACTTTTTTTGTATCAGTATATTAGGTTTCTAGTGCAAGAAACCAAACTAGTGCAAGTAATCAAACACATAAAGGTTAGAATATTTTACAGGGATTGTGGGGGGAAAAGGTGTGGAAGGGCTGACTAGAACACAAGAAAGTCTGGACGGGTCGGTCTACTTTTAGAAAACCATCAGTTGTTTGTAAAAAAAAAAAATAAGTGTCTTTTAAACCAGATAAAATGAAATAGGAAGTCACACACACACACACACACACACACACACACACACACACGGGGTGGGGGGGAGACTAAAAAGCATCATGGAGACGGGGGAGAATGTTTTCTCCATTAATTTTCTTTTAAGAGGAATGTTTCAGAACTTCATCGGGAAAAGCAGAGAGCAGATATCCTTTTTTAAAGCCCACCATTTCCTTCACGCTCCTCTCCCTAATACACACACACACACACACACACACACACACACACAAACAATCTTGGTTATTCTATGGGATCCTGATTCCAGCATACATCATCCCCAAATCTGGACACTCCAAGATTTTCTGCCTATCCTTTAGCTATCAGTTCGCTCAGGCTGAATCCAACCCCAGAATGACTTTCAGTTAAAATAGTGTTTGGCAAGTGAGGGGAGAGGCCTGACTGCAAACTCTTTCAGTTCTAATCCTTCTTTAATGTAGGTAACACAATGGGAAAAGATTTTCTCTCCACGAGTTATAGGTACACACTCTTACGTTTACATGTGCTCAGGTAGACACGCACATAGGCGGCGAGAGACCGAGCCCTGCAAATGAGACCCCAGGATTTGGAGATTCCCGGGTGGGGCTCGCAGAGTGGCTGTGTACATTCGTCGTCCCTCTCTTAATTTGAACAGCGGGATTTGGCCTTTTCTTAAGCACACACTGTGGCCCGGTGGAGAAAGGCCTTGGGAAACTAAGGCTTCTCTGAAACCCTTTTCTTTTACTTCTCAGCCGACTGGGGTCTAGTTTCGCTATCTAGCCCGGGATGAAGTAGAGAACACAGGTCTTGCTCTGTGTACACAGTTTGCAACCCAAGGGGGGACCAGCTTATCCTCGGTCCTGGAGCTGGAGCCCGATTCAAGCAGCCGGACCAGTACTAAGGGAGCTAGCGCCCTCATTCTGCCTGGAGAGCTCTGCGCGTACGTGTACACATAGAGACTACTTTTATTTTTCGTTGCTAGTTCGTAATATTGCTTTCCAGTTTGTTATATGAACCCAAGTCAAAATTTGTAGCCTGAGACTTCAGCTGCCAGGGTAGTATAGTTGGAAGAAGATGCAGAGGGACAGCGGAGGGGTTGGGACCCTGTGATCCTCAGGATACCCTAGAAGGCCAGTTTAAACATCCTAAACCAGTTTGAACCGTGCGGCATTTAAAGGGACAAGATCATAACTACAAAGTAGGCTTCCGGTCTGGAAATCCTGGCAGTTTCTTGGAACCAGCCGCTTAGCCTCCTCCTGTGAGCTGGTCAAGTATGCCTGAAACCTTTTAGCGACTCCACCCCCGGGTCACAGAATTTATGAATCTCCTAGGCTGCAAGCCAGGCTTGCATGGAGAACCAACCACTCCACTGGAGGTTCTATGAGGGCCCAGGACTGGGGCCAGGCACTCTAGCTTAGTGGGCGACTGAAGACAGTTTCACACGGGGCCTGAAGCTGCCTGTGTAAACTCCATCGACTTGTGAATCCCACTTCGTCCTAGACTCTCCCTACCAACCGAAACTTTCCAGGCTGCCTCTTCATGCTTTCTGGTCGGCTCCCGCTTTAGGCCAAACTTCACTAACAAGGTTGAACTTATTCTTTAGGATACAACATCATCCTGCACACTGATGAGTTTGCGAGGTTCTCCAAGCCAGTGAGTGACACTCCAAATAAAACAGTGTCTTCCAATTGAACGCATTTCTCGGACATTTAAAAATCTGCATCCGTAGCAAGGTCGTTTATGGTCCGGGCCTTGCATGTGCCTTTAGACGCCCCCTGCTTGGTTCCATCTCTTCCCAGCAGTCCAGCCCTGGAGGAACTGCGGGCTTCTCTGTCTATGATTTAAAAACAAAAAACAAAAACAGAGGTGACGCTACTTTTAGAGGCCATTTTCCTGAATGTTGAATAGAAGCCAGAAGAAAGTTGAGGGTTGCAGTGTTTAAATGAACATCGACTAAGGGAGGAAAAGCAAAATGAAACAAAACGAATCGTTCGTAGCGTATTTCATACTAAAGATTTGTGTACATAGTGAATTTTATTCCACAAGAGATTTTTTATTCACCTCAAGCCCATATCCTGTTAATCCTAAGAAAATGTTGAGTTTAAACAACAGAACTCCACATACATGTTTGCGGTCGTTCAATTGTAAAGTTCTGCTTTTTTTTTCGAATTTGTTTTAAAGAAACACACCGATTCTTAAAAACCCAATATGAATATGAAGTTACTTTAACATACAGAAATTCCAAAAAACATACAGAAACATGGTTTACTTCGTGAAGTTTTGAAGTTAAGCCTATATCATTAAAGACAGAATTAAAAATCCCACGATGTACGTTTTAAAATAAGCACTCCTAAATAAAAGGGCATCTCTAGAAAGGAGACATCTTTCCTGACTGAGAGGTAATATAGTATAATGATTAATTTTAAAATCTAAAATAATCATATGTGCTTAAACTCATCTCACCTAAGAAAAATCTACGGAGTAAGACTCAAGCTCATGGCCATTCTCTACGCACAGTGGGCATTAATAAACGCAGGAATGTTTAAATGAAAAAACGACAAACATGTTGGCTGTGAGTTTCTGCCCCTTCCAAATGTACTTTCTAGCTTCTTGGATAGGGATGTGGGACCGGAGGTTTAAGAGTCCTTAAAAGATCCTCTATACTACTAATTGTGGATCTCTTTTTTCGGTTAAACCCTGAGGCTCAGCCTTTCCTGGTCCCGATGAGAAAAGTCTGAGAGGCAGGCTCTGGACTAGGTTGGTGGGTGTCAGCAAAAGAGGGTTCAGCTTTCTAGAGGCAAGCACAGAAGAGCCAGATGGCGGCGCTTTTCTGTCGGGGATTTTCCGACCTTGTAAGGAAGTGGGCGCGGGCTGAGTCGAGTCAGATTCTTCTGATTGGTGAGCCATCTCAGTGATGGACAGCTCCACAGGACCCGCCCCTGCCGCTTTATTGACACTAATGAGCAAGTTCTTCCCACCGCTCTCCTGCCTGGAAGTGCTGACAGATCAAGGCAACAAATTTCAATTACAATCCCTAATTTGTGTCCGCAGAGTGTTTTTTTTCCCCCCGTGTTAGTCCTCTCGGGCGCATCAGTCGAGGCAGATCTTGGAGCAACAGGAGGAGGTGGAGGGTTTGGGAGTCAAGAAGTGCATCATTGAGCTCGAGGGAGAGACAGAGGGAAGGAAACTTGGCGGCCGCGTTCCTGCTTCCTCGGATCCCAACGCCAGAGAGAAAGAGGAAACGGCAAATTTGTTTTTGCCCACAGCTAGGAAAGGGACAGCTTTCGAGAGGCATCGGGAACTGTGGAGCGTTTGGGGGGTGCAGGAGGGCGAGCGCGTGCGTGCGCCCCAGCCTCGGGTATATGAGAGAGGGGCGGGCGGGCTCGGGGCGGCGGGGATGGCGGAGAAGCGGAGGGGCTCACCGTGCAGCATGCTAAGCCTCAAGGCGCACGCCTTCTCGGTGGAGGCACTGATCGGCGCCGAGAAGCAGCAACAGCTTCAAAAGAAGCGGAGAAAGCTGGCCACGGAGGAGGCGGCGGGGGCGGTGGACGACGCAGGCTGCAGCCGTGGCGGAGGCGTGGGCGAGCACGGCTGTTCCGAGGCCGACGAAGACGCGGCTCCCCCGCCGGCCGCAGCCGGGGCGGCGTCCGGGCCGGCGTCCGGGCCGGCGAGGAGCTGCGCGGACGCAGAGCGGGGCTGTGGTTCCCGAGGAGCGGCGGGTGAGTCGACCCCTTCTTCCCCAGCGGCTTCCCAGCGCGTCCCTGCCCGGCTCCCGCGAACCTGAGCTTCGGCGAGGCTGCGCTAGCGCCGGGTCCTCCCGGGTCTCCGCCGCCGAGCCCCGGGGTCAGGCGCTGACCCGTCGGCCTCGCACACCGTCTATCCGCGGCTCAGCCAGCCCGGCCCGGCGAGCTGCCGCCGTCCTCGCCTCTGCTCCGGGAGGGTTCGAGCCCGGGGTGCTGGTGCTTTTTGCTTCTCTAAGTTTTAGGAGCCCCCGGGGCGCGTGCGGGAGGGAGCGGGCTACAGCGCGGAAACCGGATCGGACGCCCCGAAGTTGGGTGCGCCAACCCGGGAGGCGGCGGCGAGCTCGCCCACACTCTTTGCCCCCCTTAATGCGGAGCGCTACTCCGCCGGAGCCCAGGGCGCCCCGGGGCTGGCTTTTTCCCCTCTTCTACCCACTGTGCCGCGGGGCCTGGAGAGCCAGCAACCGGGAGGCTGGCTAGAGTGGGATTTGGGGAAGTTTACAGAAGATGCCTCGCGCGAGGCCCAGAGGCCCTGCGGCCGCCTGGAGCGGAGGGAAGAAGGGGTGATCCGAGCAGATCGGGGTTGCGGCGGCGGGATCTGCGCCCCGGGACAGTGAGCTCGGGACCGGTCTTAGACCTCGTAGCGTGTGTCGCGCACAGGCGGGGCGCGTGGAGAGTCCGCAGACCTGACTCTGGGACATGGGGACTCGGTGGGACCCTAGAGGCCTCAAGGCAGCTCAGGTCTCAGGAATGCGGGCAGTTGTCCTACGGCTTGGTCCTGAGATGATCCCCAAGGCCGGCTTCCCCCCTCTTACTGCTTCCCCGTCTCTACCCTCTACTGTCCAGGCAGCTGTGAGGACGGCTTCCTGCAAGGCGCTTCCCCGCTGGCGTCCCCGAGAGGTTCCCCGAAAGGGTCTCCCGTACCTGGCCTGGCACGGCCGGGAACCCCGCTGCCCGCGCCGCAGGCCCCGAGAGTGGATCTACAAGGAGCGGAGCTCTGGAAGCGCTTTCACGAAATAGGCACAGAGATGATCATCACCAAAGCCGGCAGGTAAGCTTTGAGTCTCCGGGTGTCCTGGGACTCTGGCCTCACCCGACCCTTCATCTGGCCGCAACTGTGACCCACCCAACAGGGCTCCAGACAGTAGCTCCCTTTCTAAATCTTCATTGCTCCCCCCCCCCCCCCCAGCGCTGTCGTTGAAGGGCAAATCCTGGCCCAGCCTTGTTAAATTCAGAGAGATCTTTGTCAAGATGGGAGCTAAAGCCTTAGCGACGGTCCCTGATCCATCCTCTGAGTGAGGGAGTGCGAGGTAGTTACAGATAGGTCATGAGTACCCCAGTCTGCGCATTTATTTAGGCTCTAGTTATTAGACTCGAGTTATCCGTCCTGAACTAGGTAATAGATGACCCCTCCCGCTTTAGTTAGTTTTAATTTTAATTGTAATTTTCTTTTAGCATAGTCTGATTTCTTTTTTAAAATTCAAAAATTCAAAACTTCCAGATTGGACCCAGCCCATGGTGTATTGAGTTATTCTGATTTTAGGCTACCGTGAAAAGTCATTATGATCATGTTTAATCGTGTGTTACTATAAGAATCATTACTCTGATTTTTAAAACTGTAGACACCAAGCGCAAACACACACACACACACACACACACACACACACGAAATCAGCCCACTACCTTAAATTTACAGAATAAAAAAAGTTTGGAAAGAAGTTATTTCTTTTTAGACTGTATAGTTTGTGTATGGTTCATTAGTCAAATAAATGGCTTTGTTGGCCACATCATATTAATTTGAAGTCGGTGCGAGAAACTTGCACTTTCAAGTCTTCAGCTCAGTTAGTGTAATGAAATCTAAGAATAATATGATCCCTTTAAAGGTTCTTTAAAAAGCACACCCAACTCTTTCAGAGAGTACACATGGTAAAAACCTGGGTAGCATAAAAGTATCCAAACTTATTAGAAATTACAAAAACATATTTTATTGAATCCATATGTTACCTTTTGCATTCTTGGGGAGGTTTTATTAATGATCCAAATGCGTTCTTCACCAACACAAAGCAACAGTTGTCTTATAAAGGATGTAGTTAAAGACCTTTACTCTTTATCTTACAGGTGCACTGAACGAACACTAAAACAGCCAGCATATTAAACTGCTCTCATGTTTAGTTAATACTTATGGACTTTCCTTTTGCTGGCAGCAGTCTTTAATAGCACTGTTGTAGAAAATCGGTAAATAAAGTTGTGTTATAAGGTTAAATTAACAAAAATGCGATTAGTTGGAGGGTCCTAGACTAGACATAAATCATTAAAAGAAAGTTTTTTTTTTTAAAGGGCGAAACTGATGTTGTTTTTAATGCATGGTAATGTGCTGCTGTATTTCTTGCTTCTGTGCTCTTTTTAAAGGGATTATGTGCATTTACTTCAGCATCTCCTTTGATACACATATCTGGGAAGTCAAGAGAAAATGGAATTTTCGTTTGCTTTAATTAGCAATAATTGTGGTTAGAAAAGAAAACATTTTGGGGGGTTGTGGTGGGGGAGGAAATTCATAAATATACGTTGTGTTTAGTTTCTGCTTCCAATAAAGAAGTTTTACTATACCTTTCAAATTTAGAGCGCCTTTTGCACTTTACCTTACCAGGCTGCAGACAGGAAGTCCTGTCTCAATAAAGAACATATTGTTTGGTTATAGCATAGGCTCCTTGTGGGTTTTTTACAACCCCCTTTAAAATTTCACATTATAACATATTTTATCACTTTCAGCAATTTGAAGTTTGTATCATTTGATGCATTTCATTATTTGTAGTAAGATAAATAAATAGGCTTGTTGGTTTTGTTTCAGAAGCAACATTTCTCTCGTGTAAAATCCTTTCATGTTTAAGTTAAACGCAGAACACGTGTACACGGTACAACAAATCACAGTTTAAAAAGCTATAGTTTTGATATCTCCTATGTTCTGAAACCCAGAATTATGTTATCAAAGTGAATGTTATAAGTTTGTCTGCATTAAGAAATGGATGTTTCTTGGGTTTATTTGGTCTCTACTCTTAACCACAAGCAAAACAAAACCCTTCCCTTGCAAACAGGCGCATGTTTCCAGCAATGCGAGTGAAGATCTCCGGATTAGATCCTCACCAGCAATATTATATTGCCATGGATATTGTGCCGGTGGACAACAAAAGATACAGGTAGGACTGAGGACTGCCTGCGGAGCATTAGGGCTCTGCAGGCTTGTGCCGGTCTCATCCAGCCACTATGATCCTGGTTTCACAAAGTCTGTAGAACCCCCAGATTCACGATCTAAACACCCATGTGTTCTCACAGCCCAGCTGGTGCCTGTCCCGTGGCATACATGGAAACTCGGTGTCTGTTTAGCTTTTAATAGATAAAGAGATGAGTTTGGTCATTGAAACTTTGAGCAGGGGACAGTCTGGCATTGTGACATTGGTTGTGTCTTTAAGGCTGGCTATGATTTCAGGTAGAATTCTGATAGGAAGTGTTTAATGCAAAGTTTGCAGATATACATTATAGTAAATGTTGTTTTTTTTTCTATTTTGGCCTTATGTTAATTAATTTTCCTGTCATAAAAAAAGTCATGTATTTTAGGCTTTCTTTTGAGAAACATGTTTACAAGTTAGAAAAATAAAATCTCATAATTCATTGAGACGAGGCATCATCTTTAAACTTGTAGTGAATTGTTACTCTTGGCTGCTTTTCCAGGCTGGGAACGGACAATTCTTTAAAGTTTTCTATAATATTAAGATTTTGGAACAGAATACTTTTGTTTAAGCATCAAGTAGATACATGGGTTCTTTAGTTTCAAACTGCGTTTGCTTTTATTTATACAAGAAACAGAATTAGTGATTTTTCAATGACACTTCCTGTTGTTTATCAGAAGGGTTTAAAATGCTAAACTGTTTAAAAGGAAGTTTGAGAGTTTGGGAGATTAGAAATAGGATCTCTGAAAGTTGTTTTCTTCTTATTATTTTTTTTGTCATTTAGTGTATGTCTAAATCAAATTATTTGGTTTCTATCACTTTAAAAATGCTTGTTTGCTGAAAACAAATTTTTGATGTCAAAGTATCTAGCTTTAAATTTGTATATGGTCATATGAAATACTAAAAGTGTTAAATATAATAGTTTTATTTGTGTTTTCTATTTAAGTTGTATCATTTATTCTAATTACATAAGTTTTGCTAGCATTATCTACTAATTAGCTGAAAGCAGAATGCAACAAGCTTATTCACCAAACACACATGATTTAAAGTCCATATTCTAGTTTGAGTTTTGTGTTGAGGAAGGTAACATAAATTCTTAATGAGTTTCTAAGTTACTCTTTTCTTTTTCAAGTTTCTATTCTGTTTCTTCCTCCAGCTTTTCCCACATACTTCAGATTTTTTTCTTTTACACAATTTCTATATACTGTCACAGAAAGCAATGAAATTTACATCTTAACAGATTAAACTGTAAAACACAAGTTTGCTTTCCTCCATTGCTTCCTAGAAAACTTTTAGCTTTGGTATTTAGAATGCTTTACAAGGAATATTTATATGTACAATTTATTTTCTTAGAGCACATTGGATTTTGAATTATTTATTACACATAATTTTGCAAGGTTTTGATAGAACCTTTATTATTTACTTTGGTCGTAGCCAGAGTCTTATTTGCAGGGCAGGACTTTTTTCCCAGGCACCGCTAAGGTTTCCATTCATTTTTTTCAACTTTTCCATCAGTATCAGAAATTATTTTTGACTTATCCTCTGTCAAAGAATGGTATTTGGTCCAAGTTAAAAACATTATGAAAAATTAATAATCACAAAAGCTCATAGGAATTTATTCATTAAGACTATGCCATGCCAATTAAAGCAAAGTTTTAAGAATTAATTTAAATGCTCCGCTTATATATCTTTGCTTCAAGGAAAGGAATTAAAATCTACAAGAGATATTGGGCTTAAAATTGAGCTCACTGAAACGTGTAACCATAGCTGAGACAAAGAGCTTCACCAAATACGGATGTAAGGAAACGTTTCATGCTGTTTTAAAAAGATGTCCGTTTGCCACCCAGGTGTTTCTGACTTACCTGAACGTTATCACCTTACATTTTGTGCAGTATCTTAACTTCAAGAGGAGGCAACATATCTAAATGTATAATCTCATGTCACCATTTCAGTATCCTACTTTCTATTTCCTTTAGATTCATACTGACAAGATAATAGTCTGAATTATACAGTTGAATTTTAAGATTTTATTTATTCCTGGAAATTTTATTTGAATGTTTTTCTTGCTGAGTCAATTTATTTGTGAAATATTTTAAAAAGCCACAGTAGGCTATTGTGCTTTTTAAATGTGAGAATAACCTTAATTGGCAGGACTATACAAGTATACTTTGCATGTTGAGTATCGATAGTTGGATATTAGTATTTGCTCACTGAAGTGGTTTTCTTGTAAGGTCAAGAAAGAGAAGCACAAAAGATTAATGGAAGTCTGTATTTTATGATTCTTCAAAAATCTAAATTATCCTGAATTATTTTATTCTCTCCTTATAATGTTAACACATTGGAAAAAACAATCCTACATGTTAAAATGATAAACTTTTTTGCCCCCCCAAAAACAATATAACCATTTTCTTTCACTGATCCATGTTTATCTCACTAGGTTGTACAGAGCCTAAGAGGGGTAGTTATCTTTTAGGAAGCAGAAACCTTTAAAATAAGACACTGAAGTATTTTAGATTCACTCAGAGGCTAGAGTGACAGCTTCATACTGTCTTCGTGTCAGTTTAATATTCAGATGAAAAATATCAGGATGTAAATTATGTCTATTGTGAGTGTAGTGCATTAGGATCACGATACACAGCATTTGTGGAGGATACAGCCTGTATATTTTCACTAAGCCATAAGAAAGATGTTTACTCTGAGTTATACAAGGCCCCATAGTACAAACTCAAATGTATACTTAAAGGTTTGTTTTGGGTGTATAGAGAAATAAGTTTGTTTTAGACTTTTAGTAAAGGATGCACACTTGCTCTGAGTTGTTAATTCCAAGAAATTCATAGTCCACATTCAGATAGTCTTGTCTTTGCCTTGTAGGTATGTTTACCACAGCTCTAAATGGATGGTGGCAGGAAATGCTGATTCCCCTGTGCCACCCAGAGTCTATATTCATCCAGACTCACCGGCCTCTGGGGAGACTTGGATGCGACAAGTGATTAGCTTCGACAAGCTGAAGCTTACCAACAATGAACTGGATGACCAAGGCCATGTAAGTAGACAGCCTCTCTGCATGACCAGCAGGCAACACCCCAGTGCTAAAAACCGCTAAGATGGCGACACTTCTTTCTGTTTGGTCAGTGTGTGAGCAATATATGCAAAATCAAAATATGTATTTGTATCAGAGACCATGTCTATAGCTGAAGTGTCCCATAAAGCATTTATTAAGTTTAAACCAGATACTTGCTTTGTATTGGAATGAAAAGAACCAAGGCAGAGACCAAAAAAAAAATTTATGTGCAATCCCATGAGGTGCTAATTGTTATACTTGAATTGTGTTTGGAAGTTTGGTAACAGGGATGATTTATTATGTCGTCTTTGCATCCAGCTCTTTTCCCAGATGAGGCTCACTGCAGTAATGACCTGGGCTTACTCTGTTTGTGTGTTCCATCTGCAAGTTCCCAATTGTTTTGCAATGACATCTAATGTGTTGAAGTATGTTATAATTCCCTTTACTCTTAAAACTGCTGAAACTTGATACGTGGGTCAAATCCAGCCACTCTGAAAAGAAGTCATTGTTAACAGCTTGCTGGCTTTAGGCAGGGTACTGTATTATTATTTTAATACTCACTAACTCTGGATAATGCTGATTTCTGTTCAAAGGTAGCATTTCTGTTAGGTGTACTGTTGTTGGAGTTTTGATTAAGAACTGAAGTACTTTTTGAGTAATACACGAGAAAGAAATATCAACTTCATTTTATTTCCCAACCAAAGAAGACACACAGGCCACTTATAAACAAGTCACTTAAAGCTGTCACGAACATTAATGTAATGCTTGTGCTGTGGTTTGCAGGTGTCTAGATGGGCTTTTGAGCAGTCAGCTTGATAAGAACCTTGGGATGGCAACCTTTCTGTGACAAATGCAGTGTCTACTTTTTAAAGCACAGCCAATGACACGACAATCTGTGACCACCTTTATGATGTCAGACTGAATCAGAGAAAGTAGATACATTATTTCTTCATATATTATAGTAGATAACTTTGTTTTCTTTCTCTTTATTTTTGTAAACCCACAATCAAATTGTTATAACTATTGCTCACTTGATTACAGTGCTGAAAAATGCCAATTTCCTTTGTCTCACCAAGCTATTGCTGGTATGTCCATCCTAGGGGGTGTTTTCTGCCTTTTAGTAGGGAATTTAGACTAAATACTATTTGATGCTGCTTACTTTAAAGACCAAGAGCAATTGTTCTTCTGAATTCAACAGAATCTATTTTTAAAAAGGTAATCTAAACCATATACTGATAAAGAATTTATATCAATATAAATTGATAATCTACATCAATATCAATCAAATCTTACAGTTCTAATACTTTTAGTTCAGAATACTGGCTTTAGAGACAGTATGTAGCATAACAAATTTTATACATAGATATAGTAGTCTGTAATTTTAGATTTCTAATTTTAATAGTTTTTAGCTAAAAGAACATTCTGTAGAAAATGTAATATGTATATATGTATGCATGTATAATATATATGTGTATTATATGTATAATGTATAATACATATATACATACAGGGAAGATAATTATATATTTGTGTATGAGAAAGGAGTCAGAGAGAAGAAAGAGACAGAGGTAGGAGACAGTGGAGAGAGGAGTGGGGGGAGGAGATAGAGATAAACATGAATATTGGTTCATGTGATTTGTGGGAGAGTGGTCCAGTTCCATCTTTTGAGACCTAGGAAGAATTGAATTTGTGACTTGAATCTGAAGCTAGTCTGTTATCAGAGTTTTCTCTTCTTCCCGGGACCTTACTCCGTTTTCCTTCAACTGATTGGATGATGTCCACTTACAGCTACAGACGCTAATCTGCTTTTCACATGTTTACTGATTAAGTATTTGTCTCTAAGCCATATTTTCACAGCAAATCTTTGTCTCTATTTGGCTAAAAATATGGATATTGTGTCCTGGCCAAGTTAACAGATTAAAATCAACCATCACACAATATTTTTTTAAAACATAAAAGAATAGTTCCAAATCGAAGCAGCAAAGAACAAAAAAATAATAATAATAAAGCATTCTGGCTACTAGTGAAGTTTTCTTTTAAAGTTGTGACAAGATGTGCTGTTTAATCTAAGGATATAAAGAATGTCCGTGGGTAGCAAGAGAGAACTGTGAACTCCAGAAGCGAGGACATTGCATTGCGAATGTTGGTGCTTGTGCCCAGCTGACTGTTAGGGGAAGTGCCTTTTCTCATTATTTATTGAAAAAAAAAATGTGTTCACAAAGATTGTTAAATGCGATCAAGGACACTGACGGCAGAAACTGGCTATGTGAGTTTCTTGCCTCCACAGGGTGAGAAGGGAGCCTGCAGATTGCTGCCCTGTCTGCTGCTCCTAGAGGTACAGACATCTCAGCTCAGAAAGACCAGGAAGAACACCAAAAGGCCTCTGCTGCGTGGATTCTATTAGATGGGCCCAAGTGAAAGCCCATTAGAGACGGGAAAGTGCTTGTAGTTTGTGCTATTTGTGACTTGGATCTATGAAGGCAGTGTTGTCATGGTGGGACTTTAGCAGACTCCCTCGGGGACTTTTGCTTTTGTAGCCTTTTCCTTTCTGTCATTCCACCAGTTCTAAAAGAAATCACTGTCACCTCTAACAAATACATCTGTATAGGGCAGAGTTTAATTTCCTAAATTCTTTTCTTATGTTTTAATCTCTCAGTCACCCCGTCTCCAATTTGCTGTGTTAAATTTGTACACCACAAACGGAGCTTTGTGACTGGAGAACTCTGTGGCCCTGGGATTGTAACTAAGTTAGCATAAAGCGATCACAGGAATCCAAGTTTGTAGGCGTTGACTAGACTTGCTACCCCAGGAGATGATGTGATTTTTCCCAAAGTAACTTTTCAGCTTCTCAAATTCTAGATTTGGTTCAGAAAAGAAAATTAAGGAAGTTTCAGAGTGGCAATTCCTCTCAGAGCCGAAGCTACTCCTTGAATGTTGGGATAACTTGGTGGGTCCTTTTGATCCTTTGGTATTCTGGGTAGATTTATGGTAGCTTTGGTACAAACCAAGGGTGGTTTTGGGGCTTCCTTTGGGCAAGAAGTTCCTATGCTTGGGTGATAGTTTCTCACCACACACATGTTTCTTTGTTTTCCTGGAATCTGTCTTCTGAGAAAAGTATTTCCTTGAGCATCTTTCTAGAAAGGAGAAGACATTTGATGGGACACATTGAACTGCGGCAGCTTCCTACCTTTAGTGCCAGGGATGCTTTGGAAATGGGTCCTATTGGGTATCCATAGTCATAGACTTGTAGGAGTGTGTGTCTGTCCACTGCTGACAATTTCCTGACACACATGCCTACATTTTCTTATGGTTTCTCCTTGAAAAATCAGACGGGGAAGCAAGATGATGCAGAAGCGGTAGCTGAGCTCTTTCATTGGGAAGGAAATTGAAGTGGTTGAGAAGGACTCCACATCTGTGAAACCCCCCCCCCCTCCCAGAGTCCTTTCCATTTCCATGGCTTTGTTTTCTCATGGGTGGTATTGGAATTAGAGACACAAGGAAGCTGGTAAACTTGAAAGTATGTGTTTAAGGAGAGCCTGAAACACAGTAACACATAAGAACAAAAGAAACTCCTACTTTGCCAGTGATTGATAAAGTTTCAGTACTATTTAAACTGAGGCATATTTGGGGTTACAACACTTGTAGGAAGGGGTGGGGGTGGGGGAATGGGGAGATGGGAGGGGCATTGCTATCTGGTCCCTTGCTTGACCTCATCCAATCTTGAGAGTTTGTCATCTAGAAAAATTTTTTTAAAGTTATCTATAAGTTCTACTATCAAGCTGAAAAGTTAGAAGCCCCTCTGTCAGACTATCGAGCTGTCAGATAAAGAAGTATGCTTCTTTTGATACAAATATATTTTATAATTAATTAATAATTGGCGGTGTTATAGGTTAAGCCCAGGGGAAAATGCTTTACTACTGAGCCACATCCCCGACCCCTCAAATCTACCTTTAAAGTAGGAAAGCATATATAAGCTTATTAGTGAGATTACTCTGTTTATGATTATTGGTCTGTATGCCTTTTCTAATATTATAGTTAGTCCCCTGCCCAAATCCTATCTAAACAGAACAGACAGTGTAGAAAGTACACATAAGATCTGATTATTTAAGCTGTAATTATGGTCTCATTTTTTTTAAAAAAAATGGCTGGTAGGCCCACATATCATACTAAATAAGCAAAATATTGTCGGCTTACTATTATTATAAATGGGACAGTTTTTTATGTTTATTTATTTATGGGAATGGGTGGTTGTGGGTTGCTGCATGCCATTGCACAAGCCTAGAAGTTAGAGTACACCTTGCAAAAGTTCGTTCTCTCCTTCCACCACGTGGAGCCCCGAGACGGAGCTCAGGTGGTCAGTCTTGGCAGCAAGCACCTTTCTGAGCCGTCTTGCCAGGTCTATATTTGATTAGCTCATTAAGAAGTAAATAATGACAGTATTATAAAGTAGAACTGAGCTTGCTTAGTGTTCTCTCAGAAATTCCAAGGATACACTATATTTTCTATAGACATTTAAAATACATTACTTTATCATTTAATGTGCACACATAGGCATTTATTAATGTTTTTTGCACCCTATTTCAGTGTACCCCACCCAAATTCACTCTTTAAAACATGGCAAGGATATAAACAGGATATAAACAAATGAGCTTAACATGTATAAAACTGAATGGAGAAGCGTCCTTGAGAGAAGAGTCTTCATAAAACAAGACTGTAAAAAGAAAGAAGCCTTTATTACCTCCATTCCAAATCATTTCATTCCAATGCTCTGAACTGGCTATGCAGTTTTTTTTCTTAATTATATGCAATTTCTTGTCTTTTTTCTCCCTTCTGTTCTGGAAATCATTTTTCTCTTGGAGTTTAGATGCCACCATTTGTGTGCTGCTGATATTTTGATTCTAAAAAAAAAAAAGAACTACTTACTTTATGTGCATTGGTGTTTTGCCTACATGTATGAATGTGTGTGAGGGTGTCCGAGCCCCTGAAAATAGAGTTACAAACAGTTGTGAGTTTCCATGTGGGTGCTGGGAATTGAATCTGGGTCATCTGGAAGAGCAACCAATGCTCTTAACTGTCGAGCCATCTTCCTAGCCACCAACATATTAATTCTTAGCTTGGAGAACAGTAAGGGTTTTTCCTCAAACTTTTCAACTCTGGAAGATACAAGGCAATTTTTTAAAGAGAAAGTTAGCTCAATAAAAGAGTGAAAAGTTGACTTGATATTGAAGTTATCACATTGAACGTGGACATTTGCTATTTTATGCTAACATTGAAGAGTGTGTTACTGCAATAGTAAATCATAGGAAAAGGACCAGGACAGGTTTGCAGGTGGGGACTGAGACTCAAGTTGGGACTCAATTAACTGCATCTACAGGCTCAAAAACGTGTGTTTCTTCTATTGGGCCCAACCCAGAGACTGTGCCTGCCCACGTAGTGTAAATTTACGTAGACAGGAAAGGAAAACTGGCCCAGGGCCTAGGGAGCTCTGAGGACTCAGAAGTCTGTAGGTTTTGTAGAACTTACTATTTAAAAAATAATCTATTGAGGTTTAGAAACGTCATGCAGAGCCCAAAATATACACCAAACATGTTCCTACATGGAAGTCAGAAAGTTGACCTCACATCAGCTGCTCTCCTTCCCCTAGTATAGCTCAGAAAGCAAAACAAACAACAAAAACAACAAACTCTGCAAGGGCAAAAACTTTGCCAAAGACTAAAACTTAGATTTTGATGTGTTTTAAAGTTGGAATTAGTGGACATAATCTAGTAATAAAGGAATGAGCAAAAGACATTCCTCATCTACTGAAAATTTGTTTAACAGGTAGGCAGTGATGGCAGAGGCCTTTAATCCCAGAACTCAAGAGGCAAATTCAGGCAGATTGAGGCCAGCTTGTTCTACAGAGTAATTTCCAGGACAACCAGGACTACACAGAGAAACCTTGTCTGGAAGAAACCAAAAGAAGACGAAAAAAAAAGCTTGCTAGACTATGCTAACGGTTAGACTTTTTGAATACAGTTTCTTTTCTGTGTTCTTTTATCCTGATTTACAGCAAGGCATACCTTTCATCTGATGGCAGTGTACACACCTACTTAGAGCCAACAGAAACTATTTTGGAAAAAAAGTAGTCCATGTCTCTGGTACAGCCGCACACTGTTTACTACTGTGTTTTGTAGTTTTTCTCATTTAAAGATTTTCTAGTCCAAGATACTAATAGTTCACTTAAATTATTTCTTCTTCTTAGTTCTAGGAAGAGGCAGCAGATTGCTGCCTGTGTTCTCTCAAGTGATGATCAGGACTGCTGCCCCCTTTTGCAGTTTCTTGTATTCACACTGCCTCACACTTCCTGTATCTCTTCCATTGACACACAAATAAAAACCTTAGAGAAAAAACAAAAACAGAACCCCTGACTGCAGTTTTGGCTATCCCAAGAGTAAAGGCCTGCTCTTCTGACTGAGAACAGGGCTGTTTGTGTTTGAGCTGACCAAAGGCTCTGAAGTTGGCTGATTAAACTGCCTGTATCCGGTACAACATGAAGCCTGTCAAACACCATGCTTCCCATGACTTTTGTTTAGATATTTTCCTTCTAGATTCATAATAACCTAGACATTGAATTTAAAGCTTAGAGTGCAGAAAATTTACGTACTTGTCAGCTAACGTTATTTATGCATATAGAGCCCAAGAAACACATTTTAAAAATTTGCTGTTTATGAAAGTATTAAAACATAAAAAGTCAAATATGCCTCCATGTGTGCACACAAACACAGACACAGACACACACACACACACACACACACACACCCCAACCTGTCATCCCACTATCAGAGGTGACCCCTGTTTATATCTCTGTATAAGCTACTATGCTTTGTTTTAATAAACCATAAAACATATCTAAACAATTAGGTACTGTTTTTATCATCTTAAGATTAAAAACTAGCATTTTATTGTATGATTAAAATTTGCCTAAACAGCATTAGGAACAGTGACAGCACATACCAAGATGTAGCTGTTCCGTGGTGACTAATCTACTCATGTTGGCATCTACGTGGCTTATAGTTCTTCCACTGTTAGAGATTATGTGACGTCTATCTCTGTGTATGAAATGTTTTTCTGAATCTGCAGCAATTCCTTAGGACAAATCTTAGTGGGATCTTGGTGCCCACATGAGAGACTCTGGGCAGGCTTTCCAGGCACCATTCTGAGATTTGAATAGCGTCTTGGGTACTATACTATTCTGACAAACTACAGATTTTATAGAACAAACATGGGAGACAGCAGAATGTCCTCAGTGGGTGTGCACAGTCATCTACAAAAGAACAATTCCCTTGGAGTGTGAAAATCTTATCTTTTAGAAGATGAGTTTGGAGAAAATAAATGATCATTTCAATCTCCTTTTTAGTTTCATTGGTATTGACTTTGGTTTTATTCAGTTCACAATAAATAAAATCTTTATGAATATATCATTGCATTTTAAGCAATAGAAATTTGATGTTTATTTCATGTGGCTGTACTGAGGGTTTTATTAAAGTGATTTACATTTTTATATACATGTTGCAGATGTCTTCCTAGCCCTTCCATGTGGCTTTGCTGCACTTTGTTAAATTAACTACAGAAATTATCTTCAGTAATGTGACTCTCCTGGAAAACGTTATTTTCCACATTACGTATTTGCCCATACCATCAACTTGCAACAGAGTGCTTCCTGTTTAATGTGCCTTTCCTGCCTTGATCTAGATCATTCTTCATTCTATGCACAAATACCAACCGCGCGTGCACGTCATCCGTAAAGACTGCGGGGACGATCTGTCCCCCATCAAGCCTGTTCCATCGGGAGAGGGAGTGAAGGCATTCTCATTTCCAGAAACTGTCTTCACAACTGTCACTGCCTATCAGAATCAACAGGTATTGTTTTCAGTGGCCCTCTTGCTAGACTCCTTAGGTGTAAAGAGAAAGCCAACACTCTTTTTTCTGTGTATCCAAATGTTAGGAATTGCGATAAAGCATTTGCTGTACACGACACTTAGAATATGTATGTGTGTACACAGAGACATCTCCAAGACCACAAATTCCCAAGTGGGGCTACTGTAGTGATGACTTCAGCTAATCACGTATCTTGCAATTGGCAGTGTATTTTTACTTTCCTTCTTGAGATATTGAATCATAATTTCAAAATTTAAAATTAGAAGGCATGTTGGTTACCTAGAAAAATAGACATCTAAAGTGTGAAATGGTAGTTGTATCTTCAAACATGAGATTTGGCTTTAAAAACTACAGCCCTTGAATTATAAGAAATATTTCAGAAGGATTTATCCTATACTTATTTTGGGGTACTTTTAAAAGGACCTTTCCTTCTAACTATGATTTAAACTATTTTGCAGGGCACTGATGTGCATTATAGTCTGAAAGATCAGTAATTTTTATGTAATGCTTTCATAGTGGTTTAAACAGATTGAGAAATAAAATGCTTTGAAGGTTTAGAGACATTTAGGATTATTAAAATATATTAGGGACAGAAAATGGTCCTTCTTCTTGGGAAAAATTAGTGCATGAAGAGAAAACAGCATATGTTATAATAAACCCCAATTCATCCTTTTCTCTGTCTCTCTATTGCAATAGTCAAACCAAACCAAATATTTATTCTCATTCTTAGAAGGAAAATGAGTGAAGAACTTTGTCTTTCACAGTAGATGTTCTAGATGACTTCTGAAATCTTTCAACTTTCACTACCAGCGTAATAAAACCCACAAGGAACACAGTAGAACCCTCTGTGAATTTTTGGATTGTTTGTGGTTCTACAGTAACCTTAATTTTTTTTAAAGATTTATTTATTTATTATATGAGTACACTGTAGCTGTCTTCAGACACACCAGAAGAGGGCATCAGATCTCATTACAGATGGTTGTGAGCCACCATGTGGTTGCTGGGATTTGAACTCAGGACCTCTGGAAGTGCAGTCAGTGCTCTTAACCACTGAGGTATCTCTCCAGCCCGTAACCTTAACTTTTAAATAATGTTCTTATTTAAGATTATAATGCTTATATAAGATTTGATGTGATTTCTTTTCTACACTGCAGATTACTCGCCTTAAGATAGACAGGAATCCGTTTGCTAAAGGCTTCCGAGACTCTGGGAGGAACAGGTAATTCCTAATGAACTCTTCTGGTTGTTCTAGTAAATATATTTGAAGTTTAAATGTGAATTTTAAATTGGAAGCTTAAAGGTTCACTTAACAAACAGCTTAGAATCACTTCTGATGACAGTTTAAATTGGTAAACATTACTGTGTCTTGGAAGTAACTTAGGTATAGAGTGTAATCCTGTGGCCTACCCTAAGATGAACTTTATGTATGTGGTGGGGGTGAAGATATAAGCTCTTGGCATGCAGATTGCATGTTATTTCTGGAGGGACCGTGGAGAATTCTGCTCTTATGGCCCATGGACTTCCATATTCCAAGAAATTGTCCCTTCTGCCTCCGCTTCTGGTTTAGAATGTTCTTAGTGATAACACACTGTCTGTTGATTCTCTCTGGAGAGTATGGTAGAGTCTCTTGTTAACTCAGATTTCCAACTGGAATATGAAACCATTTCACATTGCCAAGAAACCCAGCTCTTCAGTTTCCAAATTTGTCTTGGCTCTACTGACAGCCACATACTTGTTTATTTTTTCTGTGTTGTGTTTTACAGTGTGTGCACTAAATGAAATAGCTACAGCAATTAATTCTGGTATTACGTTTTATCAAGGAGTAGATAGATCATCCAGTCTGTTTGCTGCAAATTTCTAAACTTATTGATATCGATTCTATTCTAGTACAGTTCAGTGTCACATTTTAAAAAATAACTGCAATAGAGGGTGAGAATCGAGTAATATTCTCCTGATGCCTTTCTGGGTGGCTTTGCTATGCACGCTTCTAAAACTGTCTCATGACAAGAGGCATTTGAACTTCTTTATTACTCCACTCCTCAAAATTATTCTGAAATTTTATGAAACTAGTATTAACTAGGTTTGTCTAAATGAAGTGAAAAATACTCAATTATCAAAAAATGATTTCACTTGAATTTTAGAAAGAAAAGCAATCAGGTAATAGTGTAGATTTCTAGTGTTTTCAGCTGATTAAATGGTCAAGATAGGTGACAGACAGCTCTCAAAATATGCTCAGTTGCTAAAGAGACTTGGTGCCATTTTCCTTTACAGTGGCATCACATAAACAACACACAGTTTAAGTACTAAAAGCAGTGAGGACCCAATGATATCAGAGTGACCTTCGGTTAGTGTAGGGGGTCAACAAGACTAGTCAATAGGAGAGCTTCCTTTGAAGGGCTTCACTCCGTGGGAAGGATTTCAGGCACTAACAAATTTGTCTCCTGCCTTGAAACTGCTTTATATTTTGAGATGAGAAGTTGTGCCTGGTGATTGTTTTGTTATGCTCATGGTTATCTTGCTTTGCAGGGACATTTTTGAAAACTGAATGAAAAAGATCATAGTTTAGTAGCGCTCAGATGATGGGTGCAGAGGGTGAGGGGAACCTGAGAGGTGACTTTTTCTGCCTGGGGAAATGCTTGGCTGAACCCCTCTTGTGACTTAGGTTATATCAGAGTCTTGCATTGGCTTTAGTTTTTTTCTTAAGTAGGACAACAATGTATTAAAACTCTTGCACCTATAGGAGGGCCACACTGAGACTTTGTGAGAGTAAACGCCAGAAACCATGTCCACGCTGCTGATTAGTTTGGGAAAGACCTCACTGCTACTGACACTGAAGAGAAGTTCATTTAAGAGGCAATGACTTATGAATACTCTTAAAATAGTTTGGATAGGAAGTACTAATGAAGGAGCCTTTGATAAGAAGCCAGATGATGGGTTCATAGGATAAATTTTGAGGAAGAATTCTAGATATGCCAGCACAATGAAAAGATTTGGTTATTTAAATCGTGTCATTAAAAATAATCGGCATCACAGGTGAAAAATAAACCTCCAATCCTGTTTGTTGAGCTTCGAGGCTAGGTTTGACATGGGTTCCCTTCCCTTTGGCTGTTTGGAAATATGTAGGCTTGGCTGTCAGATGGTGCTTTGTGTTGTTTCTTTTGATTCTAATAAAACCTGCGATGTTTAAAATTGACAAACAGAAATAATGAATTATATTTTAACACTCTGAATCTTGTTCGAATCCAATATTCTTATTTTGCTTCAAGTGACTGCCTTGTTAAAGGTGAAATGTGTGTGCACTGAGAAGTAGAACTCAACCTGTGGGTCCCGATCCCTCTGGGGTCAAATGACCCTTTCACAGGGGCTGCATATCAGATATTTACATTATGGTCTATACAGTAGCAAAATTACAGTTATGAAGTAACAATGAAAATAACTTTATAGTTGGGGGTCACCACAACTTGAAGAACTGTATTAAAGGGTAACAGTGTTAGAAAGGTTGAGAACCACTAATGTGGAACTTTCTGGTTAATGAAATAAAGTTTCCATCTTTTCTCATGATATATTCCTCTATATTAAAAAAAATCTGACCTTAACATTGTGAAAAAAATCTGTTAATTTTAAACATTTCAAATTTATGTATTATTTTCCTGAAAACTAAAAAAGAACCCACGTAGTATGTGAGGATTTGTTGAAGTTATAGAGCTTTGAGGGCATAGAGGGACATAATAATTTTTCATATATTAATAGAGAGTAAAGTCCATGAAAAAGTCCACAATATTCCTTTACTACCCCTGGTTCTACTGTGCAGTTTTACTGCTTTTTAAAACAAAATTTAATTTTTATTTTCCTCATACTGAAATAAACAAGGTGGTCAAGATACAAGATAAACACAGACATGTGATTGGTTCAATTTTATAAAAACGATTCCGTTTAATTAAAAAATGTCCTTCCCTGGCTACGTATGGCTCTGTAGCCTGTTTTACAGGAGTCAGTAGCTTCAACCCTTGGAAGCCCTCCTGCAGGCATTTGCTATGTGACAGTGAATTTATGTGCTGAGAATAGTCCCATTCCGCAGTTAGGCTTTAGGTTTGACCCTATAAAAGTTTTTACTCAGGAAGGTACAAAAATTTCTTCTCTTAAATACTTCAGGAAAAACATAACCATCTTACTAAATAAACTCGGCCATTTGATAGCATAAATGAGGGCGCTGGTAAAGGTGGAGGTCGTTGAAAGGCAGCTTGTATAAATTATCGCCTTGGCTACTCTCCTGCAGGAGGGGCCTTTCATCTTTCCTTTAACTAGATGGGAAAAGTCTCCATTACTGGAGAAAATGAAGGCTTTTTAACAAAAGTCCAGATTCAACTAATAAATATTTTATAACTGTTTCCTGCAAAATATCTGAAATCCTTTGTGGAACTGGCAGTGTGAACTGAGCCTGGGGCAGCATCCTCATGGCTCCCAGTGAGAATACTCTAGTGGATGCGGTCCCTACAAGCTTTCAGCACAGGGCTGTGCATGTGCTATGCTCAGTGACTTCTCCCTACATTTGTGGATTTGAAACATAATTCAGGCTACAAAGCAGCAAAACATATCTACGTAGTTCTACAAACTTCTGATTTTAATAAAACTGTTCCATAGTTACGTTGGTACCTTCACTAACCAAATCTACCTTTATCAAAGTTCATCTGTGCAAGAATAAAAAAGTAGGTGGTTTGTTGTGTTTTAATAAAAGTGTGTACTAATATTCTTTAACATAAGAGAAATCATTTCTCTTGAAAGTAGTAAATATTTAAGATTGGTTTAAATTAAATAGAGAGAGACTGTCAAAGCATTATCCAACATTCATTAGTCCAGTATTAAATACAAGTCTAAGGTAACTCAGTATTGAGACAGTTCAGGCCTCACAAACTACATAATAAATAAACTAATAAATAACTAATAAAAATATTTTATCATATAGAAAATATTACTGGTTGGTATGATCTCGGGAATTTGGCTCGCAGTTCGGTCATAGGTATGATGTCTGATTTACAAAACTAATTATGTAAAATAAAAACCAGTTAGAATGAAATGAATTATAGCTACATATAATTGGGTTTCAAGCTTCACAGTCCAGTCTTCACTTCTCAGGAAAGTCATTTCAGGGAAGTGAAGTCACACAGTTAGCTAGAGTGCCTGATAGTCACAGTCTGGCTCTTCTGATTCAGACTGGTGTCTGTTTTACCCAAAACAGCCCTCTGTGACAACAGTGATTGTGTCAGAAGTCAGACTCCATTCTTCTCACCCACATAGCTCAGGAAAAACAGGTGGAGGTGTTCTCCCTATGATAGCCTGAGGTAGCATTGGTATGGTGATGCCCCTCAAAAGCTGTCCCTGATCTGTCCTCTTCTGAGACTGAGACTGAAGAAATGAGTGAGGTCCTCCCCTCAGCCCCCATGCAAGCTCACCACAACAGGAGATATGAAACTTAGCTGGAAGGACAGCAATGGGAGATGAGTTCTCCACATAAATTGTTCCTGCTTTCTTTTCTTTTTTTTTTTTTTTTGGTTTTTTTTTTTTCGAGACAGGGTTTCTCTGTATAGCCCTGGCTGTCCTGGAACTCATTCTGTAGACCAGGCTGGCCTCGAACTCAGAAATCCGCCTGCCTCTGCCTCCCAAGTGCTGGGATTAAAGGCGTGCGCCACCACCGCCCGGCTTTGTTCCTGCTTTCTAAGTAGCTTTCATTTTGTTGGAGAGGTCATATGGCTGGCTGGTGGTTTCCTCTAGCCTTAGCTCGTAGTTCATGATTTGTAGGTACCAGGAGGCCATCAGCTGAGTTGAAAATAATAAGGAATATAACAGTCACAAGAAATGTCCAGGTTGTATTTGACCCTGAAGAAGTTTTTTTTTTCTTTCTGTAGTGTTGTGGATGAGCCCAGTGCTTTGTGTATCTTAGATAAGTGGTAAACTTCCAAGTTATACTTTGGCCCCTGCCACGCTATCTTTTAAGCAGATTGCTCAGGGTAGAGGTAGATGAAGGTGAGTAGTGAGATTTCAAGCTGCCTTGAGAAGGGCTAGTCGAGGGAACGTGTCACACCCAGATCCCGGATTGTATCTTTAGCCACTGGATATAAGAGGGCGGAAGACTGACCCACTTATGGTAGAAGTTATTTATGTTTGCATTTACAGTTGTTGCTTTTATTTTAAAATAATATAATCTACGGGTTATAATATAGTAGTATAGTCTACAACCAAGTTTGTCACTTGACATAGCAATTTATTAAGTATGTATGGTGAGACTGTATAATAGCTTAAAATATCTCTACTAACTGTATAGAGAATAGATAGCTCTATCTAGAGTGTTGTATTGAGAATAGATGACCTCCTACCCTCTTGCACGCTGTGCAAAGCTGAGCAAGCAGTCAGTGCTGCCCCCTCCTGGCCTATCTTGGTTGGTAATGGAGATCGTACCCCAGAGCAGAAGTTGGTTTTCTTGGAGTGGTTCTTCCTCTGAGCTAGCTCCTGAGGTACTGAATGATGAGCAGAAATATCCCTTCGAAAAGAGATCTTAACATAAGGATGCTTTTGCAACCATCTCCTTCATCATCAGAGGGCAAACTCCTAAGACAAGGAGAAAGGACCAAAGTACCACAGAACCTTGGACTCAAAGTAGGCAGGATGGGCTCAGCTTCTCCGGTCCATGTCTTAGCTTTAGGGTCCTAGGAGTGTTGGCAGGTGGGCATTGTGGTAGGTTTCTGTTCTCTTCCTACACCCTGTCCAAAGCATTTCTCCTTGCCTGTGGAAATCTCCTAACACACCACTAAGTGTAGAAGGGATAGGGCATGGCCAATACCATGTCATTCATGCAAATGCTTATTACTGGTGAAAACCCCAACTGTTACTAACTAGCTCCATCTGTCCCCACTCTTCCATTTAGAATGGGCTTGGAAGCCCTGGTGGAGTCATATGCATTCTGGAGGCCATCACTACGGACTCTCACCTTTGAAGATATCCCTGGAATTCCAAAGCAAGGTAATTCAGTCTCCTGGGTCATGCATGCAGCCAGTCGCTGAGAAGAGGCAGACGTGTAAGAAATGCACACTTTGTTATTTACACCCTGATGCTGAATTTATCGCCAGCAATGTCCTACTCCAGGACCCATTTCTTTTCTGTCTCATGGGTGACAGGTTAGGAGTGATGGCCATCCTGTGGTGTTAGGGGGTTAAATCTTGCATGTTTTAGCTGTTTTTTCATAATTCTGACCTCCTCCTGACATCTCACATTGACACATGGGATGTTGAGCTCCAAAGCCAGGTATATTCCATAACAAGTTGCCCATGCCTGTTTCTCTCACTCCACTATTGCCTCTTCACAAGGTTTTCTTATTGGGTCGGTGATAAGTTCAGGCGCACTGGATCAGACCATTTTTGAGCCTATTTCTCACAACCCCAGGGCTTGTGTCTCCTCTTCAGGAGGTAGACTCTCAGGTCACCCATCTAGGCAGATTTTACCAGGATTCTGCCAGCTCCTGATGAGAATTTCACACACTTGGGTTTAGGTGATTATCATTGCTTATGTTGGGCTTTTAGATTATTTAAAGAAGCAGAATGAAATACTGTTGTTAGATTAATGAAGGCTTTACAGCCTGCCCAGCGCTTAGGAATTCTCCATTCCTCTTAAGTTATGTCAAGTTTGCAAACATCAATCTGCCAGCAGATCCAGAGAAGGGAGTAGGCCACCATCATTGCTATCCCTTGGTTGCAGGGTTAAACAGACCTCTCTGAGTTTCACAGCATTGTTTATTTGTTAGACTTTTGCAGTTGTGTTGCTTGTAATTTGCTAACCTGTTTTCTAACTGGAGTTGAGCTTTTTGAGGGACAAGGGATAGCACAGCAGAGACTTGAGTGGTACAGTCACTGATGCACACAAGCCTCAGTGAGACGCTGCAGATGTATGAGAGGCAAGACAGCCTAGACCAGCTTGCTGCTTTCCTCCAATACTTTTATTCCTCTGTAAGGAAATGTGCTGTAAGAGAGAGAGAAGACTGTTGAGAGAAAGGAAATAGCGTGGGTAGAAAAGGACAGTTATTATGCTTTGTGAGCAAGAGGAAAATTAGATGAAATTTAGTTTTGTAAAATTTCTGGTAAGTTCGGCATCTGTAATATTTGTTTTTGCAAATAAGAAAATTCTGAGAAAGCAAATTAAAATAGAACATAAAATTTTCATGTTAGAGTGTTTTACTGTTTTCTGTATTACAAAACTTCTTCATTACCAGGAGAGATAATTTGGCTTAAAAATATTTCTCTAAAATTCCATCACATTTATTATTATTATTGTTATTATTTATTATTTATTATTATCATTATTTACTTGTGTCTGTGTGTTCCTATGTGTAACAGCATGTGTTTAGAGGTCAGAGGAAAACTTTTGGGGCTTCTTTTTCTCCTTCTACCTTGTGGGTTCTAAGGGTTGAACTCAGGTTGTCAGGCTTGGTTGTTTGTCACCACCCTCGGAGCCATTTTTACCAGTCCTTGGTTTAAAAATATTAAGAAAATGTATGTTTGCTTAAGTTACCCAATCTGAGTTCCGTGAGATGAATTCAGTGAAAGCTAAGCCTCCTTTCACCTTCGTAATTCTCCCCTTAGTAACTAGCCTTATATACCATACACTTAGGATATTTAAAGGAAGGTATGGTGGGTGGAGTCATTCTTTACATGGCTACTTCTTTTGTAGGCAACACAAGTTCTTCAGCTCTACTCCAAGGTACTGGGAATGGTGTTCCTGCTACACACCCTCACCTGCTGTCTGGCTCCTCCTGTTCCTCTCCTGCCTTCCATCTGGGGCCAAACACCAGCCAGCTGTGTAGTCTGGCTCCAGCTGACTATTCTGCCTGTGCCCGTTCAGGCCTTGCCCTCAACCGATACAGCACATCCTTGGCAGAGACCTACAACAGGCTTACCAACCAGAGCAGTGAGACCTTTGCCCCACCCAGGACTCCTTCCTATGTGAGCGTGAGCAGCAGCCCTTCTGTGAACATGTCCATGGGCGGCACCGATGGGGACACCTTCAGCTGCCCACAGACCAGCCTATCCATGCAGATTTCAGGAATGTCCCCTCAACTACAGTACATCATGCCGTCGCCGTCCAGCAATGCCTTTGCCGCTAACCAGACCCACCAGGGTTCCTACAACACTTTCCGATTGCACAGTCCCTGTGCCTTGTATGGATATAACTTCTCCACATCCCCCAAACTGGCTGCCAGTCCTGAGAAAATTGTTTCTTCCCAAGGAAGTTTCTTGGGGTCCTCACCGAGTGGGACCATGACTGATCGGCAGATGTTACCCCCTGTGGAAGGAGTGCACCTGCTTAGCAGTGGGGGCCAGCAGAGTTTCTTTGACTCCAGGACCCTAGGAAGCTTAACTCTGTCATCTTCTCAAGTGTCTGCACATATGGTCTGATGAAGCCTTTAAGTTAAACGACATTTGAATCTAATGGATCTTCCTTATTTTTTTAAAGCAATATGGGGAAAATGTACATATAGTAGCAAAGGAAGGCTCACTGAGTGTTTTTGCTTTCTCATGGCAAGATTGTAATTATGGCATAGGTATATGCTGTATATACATAGCATGTAGTATACTGAAGCCTTCTCTCTGCCTTGTTGATTTAGTTCCACAGAGTATTGGCAACATGTACTATGTTTATCCAGAGTAATCAGACTCTAAAAGCAAAATGGTACACTTGAAAGTTGATAAGGATGCTACCAAAGACCTTTCTAATCCCCACATGCCAAGTGATGGCGTTTATTACAGCAGTTTCATACATACCTAACCAAAGATTTGTAACTTCATTTATCAGAAGAGTGCCCTGAGCAGTCTGCATTCAAGTGTTGATAGATAGTATTTCGATCTCTATTATCCTTGGACTTGATGTAAGAATGTTAAGTACAAAAGTCAGTTAAATCTTAGTATATTTCTGAGGTATCTGTAACAATAAAGGCTTAGCTTTACATTCCTTCTTTTTTTGTTTTTATTCTTTTCTTTTTGTTTGTTTGTTTGTTTGTTTGAGACAGGGTTCTCTGTGTAACAGCTTTGACTGTCCTGGAACTCACTCTGTGTACCAGGTTGGTCTCTAACACACAGTTATCAGCCTGCCCCTGCCTCCAAAGTGCTGAAATTAAAGGTGTATGCCAGCACCACCTGGCCATTCCTGTTTATTCTTATTTACTGAGACCTTGGGTCTTTAAAAAACCATAGCTTGTGCTGATGTTTGTTTTCTGAAGGAAGGTGGAGGACAGTCTTGTGATTTTTTACTTTCCAATGAACAGAAAATCTTATTTCCTGCAAAAAAAAAAAAAAAAAACCTCTGTTATTTTGAAATTGTTGCCCATTTTATTTACCTTATCAAGAAGGCCATTAAAACTGTCCTGCAAACATTTTAAAATTCTAAGTTTCACTATGGGATGGGTTGGACTGTATGACATGAAAAGTTGCAAAAAAAGAAAATATGCATGCCTCTCAGATTCTTTTTTCCCAATGAGTAAATGTTTATTTATTTATTTTCAATTAGAGGAATAGTGTCAAGCACTCCTTAGGCCTTTGTGTGGCTTGGTTTCTTAGATTATACATGTTCATCTTTGAGCTTCTTGACCCCTGGTCTGTGAGTTAGGAAAAGGCATATACACCACTCATTCATGTCTCATAACTCCTACAAATTGAAATGTTCCCCCTCCCTTGCCTTATCTCCCTGTCTGATTCTTTTCCAAAACAGACAGGTCTTGCCGTTATGGTGCTAGCTCTGCAAGGAATTTCAGAGGGTTATCTCCAGCAATCTGTCTTATGGTTGCAGTCAAAGGCCAAAGTCCATTACTAGAAAGGCCTCCTAGGAGGACCAAGGAGGAAGATATTCATTATGATAAGTGAGCTATAAAACTTTTAACCTCAACAACATTTTAGCTTTGGAAGTCAAGAAACAAAAACAGGATTGATTTCTAAAAGTGCCTGAAATGAGTGCAAGGCTTAGGAGTTCAGAAGAAGGAACTTTGAGAGTAGATCCTGAGATAAACAGGAAGGAGTGAGACAGGAAGGATGGGACAGCTCCTTTCGCTGAGAAGCTAAAGGGGTGTGTCTACCCAGCTGTTCCATACATTTCATGTTTAACAAACGAAGAGAATGATTTCCTTTTGTTTATCCACAGACTTGCTCTAACTTGTCCCCAATTTGGATTGAAAGGAGTCTCCATCCCACTTTCTTTCTTTACTGAACAGGATCATTGCTGGATATTTAGGGGACTGTTCTGTTTAGACAGAACACATTCTGGATTTGCCTCTGTTTATAGATGCTGACAAATTTCCCTGTAGATTCTGTAAGAAGATCACCAAATGAATAAGAATTTTAAAATCTAAGATTAGTGTAAAGGGACATTAAGTATTTGCAATAGGTTTTATGCATGGTATTATTAACTCGAGATTTGGAAACAAGGCTTTGAGAATGAATCTAGCCTTGTGCTATTCTAATTCCAGGAAGATAGCTTTCCGTCCTGAGAGAGCATTGAGTGGAGCATTTTCCTTTTTGCTGTTGGTAATTTGAAATGACATCATGATGAGAGGAGACTTTTTATTAATCATTTTGGTAAAATCTAGCAATATTGTACAAGTGTTCTTTCTTTTAGGTTTTGTTGTAAATAATAATCACCATCTCAGTCCAAAGACTGTTAACCTTTTATTGTTGTATTAAATGGCATTCTTGCATTGATTATTATAATTATATATCTGTATTTTATTAAGAACTGCTTAAGAAATTATATTAAAGTACATTATGAAACCCTTCTATCGTCTTGGAGGGTAATCATTTTAATTGCTTATATATTTTTTAAAATAAAGACACACATACCCCAGACACAAATTCCATACCACTCAACTACAAAGCAGGGAGAAATGGGTCCGATATTTATTTTTCTGGGTTTCAATATAACTTCTTGTTGTAGTGATCAAGTCATTGAAGATGAAGGCCCCATGTAACAGTTTGGATGGGAGAGGAGAAGGTGGAATAGAATGTTTTGTTCAGGTCCAGAGAGAAAGGCAAGGATGCCAGAGTGATCTGCTTGAGCCACTAAGCAGTGATGACAGATCCCTTCTAGGCCTCTTGACTGGAAAACATTCCAGGACACATGGAGATGGGATGAGGGTGTTGTTATCAAGACCAGTCACATTCTGAAAATTAATACTTGCCTCCATACAAGCCCCACCTCCAGAGGTCAACAGCTTTTCACAAGTGGGGCACACAGTTGCTGACCTCTGATTTCTGGAATGTAGGGGGTCAGGAGACCTTCATGCCTCCCAGAGGAGGCACAGCGTAGCCTGTATAAGGAAAGACTCTTTATGTCAATTTTACAGAAATTTTATTGCATAATAAACAGCAATGTGGTGAGGTAACTAGATGTTTGATTAGGAGGAAAAAATAAAAAGGATGAATTTTTGCAGCAGGTCCTTCCTGGGAAATTCTGTGGGAAGGAGAAGATAGAAAAGAGATGCCTAGTGAAATCACAGATTCCCCTGAAGTCTAGTGGAGGACCGTCAAAGAAGCCATTCCACGAGCCTGGGGCATCATGGCAGAATTGCTGAGCGTCACACTGGGTCTACCTAGATGTTTGTAAAGAATGCTTTATTTCAGTGTGAGTTTCCTTCTAAGAACTTGCTGGCTCATCTACATGAGGGATATCCCAAACTTTGCGTTGGCAATTAGATTTTCATTAAATGATTACCATACTGTATTTTAATCTCATCATCCTTTCTGAAAAGAAATGATAAGTTGGGAATGGAGTTACGTTGGCTTTCCGTAATTTTGACAGGTTAAAAATCAACACACTCAGTGACAGAAGTAGATAACAGAAGTAATCATAGGATAGAAATCTTTGACAGATGTGAAGCCTGGTAGCTTTTTTGTAGGTATATTTGCAGGTAAGTTGTTATTTTTGAGATTTTGTCAGAGTGAAAACTTGAGTGTCTTGGTGAATAGAGAAGTTGGTTGCACACCATAGATACCTCAATCAAGATTTTTGTACAAAAAAATCACTTTGAGACTCAGTTTGTTAGTGTTTTAAGAAGTATAGTTAGAATATGAATCTTGAAAATTTCTTTCAAGTTTGAATTCATGTAATACCTATTTATTAATACTTAATATTAGTAAGCTTATTCTTTTGAAATTATATATATATACATATATATAATGTATATATATCAGACATATATATGTGTATATGTATCTATCTCTATATATCTTACAAAGAACATAGCAGTATTAGAATTATTTTCAATGTACAGGCTTAATTAAAGATGACTTTTAAAATAGAATGGAGTTTTACTTAGTTACAACATATGTGACAAATTTTAGTGCTTTCATATTTGAATGAAACTATATTTAGTAATTTATTTGATACTACATAGTGCACATAAAATATGTGAATAAAATTTCCCTTTCATATTGCTCTTAATTGCATGGCATAATCATCACATGGGACAAGCATGAAAATCTTGTAAAGTATTTAGACATCTCCCTAAGTCCTTTCAGACCCTTGAGAAGACACTTAAATTTGTCTTTCTAAAGTTTCATTCATGCGGAGACTCAGATGTAATATTATCAAGCAATTAGTTAATTGTGCTGTTGACTGAGTTTGTACAAGACTAGATATAGATCCATACAGACATTCCATGTCCATATTTGAATCCTATTATTATGGTCACTAGAATGACTTACTATTAATACCAAGACATTTTTATTTGTGTGTGTGTGTGTATGTGTGTGTGTGTGTACAACCACACACATGCGTACAGAGTGCAATATTATTCAGCCTTTCAAAGGAAGGAAATTACTGCAAATATTTAAAGTGTCTGGAAGTTGAGGGCATTTTGTGCAGTGAAAAAAGCCTTTCATTAAAAAGACAATGCTATATGATTACATGTCCATGAAGCAGTTGGGGTCTCAAAATCATACCAATAGAAGGTAGAATGTTGTTTAATCTGTGTGAAATTTCAGTTTTATTAGATAAAAAACCTCCCGAGATAGTGAGAGTTGCACAACATGAAACAGGATTTAATACTGCTTATTTGCATATTTTAAAATATATGTGATAGTAAATTTTGAGATATGTGCATGTATTACAATGAAAAGTATGATATCATACAAAGAGGGCAACATGAGCACAAATAATCTGACACAAGAGCTGGAGAGATGGCTCAGTAGTCAAGGGCACCATCTGCTCTTCCAGAGGACCCAGGTTCGAGTCCTAGCACCAAAATGATGATTCACAGCCCTCTGTAACTCCAGTCCCAGGAATGTTATGTTCTCTTCTGGCCTCCATGGGCATGAGACACACAAATGGTGCACAGATATACGTGAAGGCAACACACCCATACACACTAAATGATAAGTAAACAAACAAATAAGAATGTAAAAATTAATAAATTAGCTGTAAGTATGGTCACCAAGGGTTTAAAAAATCCAAAATCCAATAATATTTATATTTGTGTTATTGACAATAATTCACACATCATACAAGTTACCTTTCTCAAGTGAACAATTCATGGTCTTCCATACCACAGACCTGTCTAACTATCACCATCATTAGTTCTAGAATAAACTTAGAATAATAGTCTGTCTACCCCTGCCACCCAAGGACTAAAACTGCAGAAGTGAACTAACATGCTCAACCTGTTTTTACTTTTAACTATCATGAACAATGCTGTTGTAAATACTGCCGATATTACTACAAGAACAAGAGAAAAACACCTTTGCTTCTCTTGGGTATATACCTGGGGGTGGAGCTATGAGATACTGAAATACTCTTTTACTGTCTTCAAAAGCCCCATAGGAGCAATGCGAAGCTATCTTCTCCCCATATCCTCTCTGGCCTTGTTCTTATCAGTCTTTCTGTAGTGCCATTGTACTATGGTTAGATTTTTATTTCTTTCATGACAAGAATGATACTAAACATCTTTTTTCTTTGCTTTATTGGCCATTTGCCTTTCTTCTTTTGGGAAATACTCATACATATTACTTGCCTACTTTTTAACCGGGTTGTCTTTTCTTTTAATTATGGTATATGTTTTCTTTATATATAAACTAAGTTTATGCCCCTTCTAAGATATATGATAGGAAAATATTTTCTCTCATCCTGTGTGCCATCTTTCAGCTTTCTTAGTGGTGTCCCTTTGCAGCACAAAAACCTTAATTTTAGGGAGGTCTTGTTTATTTTTCTTCTTTTGATAGTGCTTTTGATGTGAAAACCAAGATATTTTGATAAACTCTTTTAATCTGATGTTTTATATTATTATTATTAGTGCTATTGTCATCCTTAATAGTAGCAGTAGTGATAACTGATATGCATTTTAAAAGTGCTTTCAGTGTATGTAAATTTAATAGTACTTGATAAATTACCTCTCCTCCCAACAGGTCTGAAATGTTCTTAAGGAAATAAATCATCCCTTCAGTATCTTAATGAAAGGATCCTAAAGCATGATGAACTTTTTATTACCATAGAAAATGGTCAGCACTTTCAATATGTATTCAATCAGTGATTATTTTTTAAGCCTTAACTGTTTGCCTGGCATTATTTTAGACACGGGCAGCAGTGAATGACACATCATTGGTGCCTTCATTGCCTTGTAAAAATGGTTTCTGAAGAAAACAAAAACCCTTTAGAAAGCAATCTATCACAGCTGGCAGGAAAAATGTATTGCCCCCTGACTTTTCTATGAGTTGATGCCCTCATTCTTCTTATGACATCACAAATTCCAGATGGTCTCTGTCAACTGCTTGCTCATGTGCCAAGGTACAAGCGGGATGCATTATCGCCTTGACTTTGAGTTTGTTTTGTGGTTTTCTTTGGAAATCCTAGCATCATTTAGAATTCATTTTCCCAATTGACTTTATTTACAGAACAGTAATAAGATATTTCTCCATTATTAGCAGGAAAGGAAACAAACGTGCTTATTTAGGGTTTTGGGAAACTGCACATTTTTCTTAAAGGTATTTGATGAAATGGATTGGAGGGATTTACAGATTCCTTTTTCTTAATTTGCCTAATTGAGTTTCAAGGCAAAATGAGTTGAACCACATGTCTCAGTACATAGTAGAAGCTCTCACTGTGCAACAGGAAAGAAATTCTTCAAAGAGGCTGCCATAGAGAAATGCAAAGTGCCAGGAGGCCTTGAAAGGAATGAATATACTTTGGAACCCTCTTAAGGTTTTTCTGACTTGTTTTCTTAAGTTTGGTAACCTTGGTGTGTGGAACTATGATGTAGTTTATGTCTGAACGTTTGCTGTCTATTCAGATTTACCTTGAGGTCACTGAGAGGGCAAGAAAACCTCAAAACTTCTTGTTTGGAAGACTCTTGAAGATCCAATAAGAGAGAGACATAGAGATGCATTGTGGGTCGCTGCTACAAATACTAGAAAGCTATTGAACAAATGCAGTATGTCTCCTTGACAGCTTCTGTCTTAGTTAGGGTTCGCATAGCTGTGAAGGGACACCATGACCAAGGAAAGACTTATAAGGAAATAATGTGTTTGGGGATGACTTACAGATTCAGAAGCTCAATCCATTGTTATCATAGCAGGAAGCATGGCCATGTGCAGACAGGCGTGGTGCTGGAGGAGGAGCTGAGAGTTCTACATCTTTTTAAAAAAAGATCATCACCTAAATCTTAGACTAGAACAAAGAAATAATTACAGGCAGGAATCTAAAGCTTAAGCTAGAACAAGGAAGTAGGCTTCAGGCATGAAAATGACTTTGGGCTAGGACAAGGAAGTAGGCTTAGATATTTGG